GAGTTCCTGAGAAGATGCTTTGCAGCTTTGATCTTCTGCCTAAAATCTCACAATTGTTTAAGAGTCAGTGTTTTCCTGTGGTAGTGTAGTTCTATGCAGTCTGTTGTTCCATCCCTGATGTCTTCTATTCTTTGCAGCAGGAATAGCTTCCAGAATAAACTGACAAACAGCCAGGTAATAATTCCAACCTCCAGGGAACCTGGCAGACCCCCAGCAGCACCTTGAAAGAGCATGTCAACATCCTTCCTGAAGGCACGGAGCTTTCCACAGGGAGGGACTTTGGCATTTGTCTCTAGGCTGGTTCAGAGGCACCTCCTTCCTTAGTTCACAGGCTGTCACACAGCCTCTGCCAGTGCCTGCAAAAGCCTCTGCATGGCACTTTCACTGTGAGACCTACTTCTCCATTCTCTGGGGTCCTTTTATCCACCCTACACAGGACTCACAAGAACAATTTTTTTTAGTTCTTCTATGTTCAAAAATATATGGTACCTTTAAAATTAAAAGGCAATGTAACTGGATATAAAAAATCCTTGGGCACATTTTCCTTGAAAATGTTATACAAATTGGTTTCTTATCTTCTAGCATTGACTATTGTTTTGGAAATGTTTGAAACAACCCTGATTTCCCCACCCCACTTACAAGAGTGACTTGATCTTTTTTCTAGCTTGCCCGGAAGATCCTTTCTTTATCAAAGAGCTCCAGGAAGTTGATACTTCTTATCTTTCCTCAATTTCCTAAAAACTGGGGTTTGCGTTTCTGTTCTCCTCCATTGGGTGACTTCTGAGAGAAGCAGAAAGTTTACTTGGTTCTGTCTTCTCCAGACCTCATCACCAAGACAGCAGTCTGTTTCACACCCTTGATTTGCATGCCAAGAAAGAGGGTGCAGACTAGTGGGCCAGTTGAGGTGGCTCACACGTGTAATCTCAGCACATTCGGAGGCCAGGCAGGAGAATAGCTTGAGCCCAGGAGTTTGAGACCAGCCTGAGTAATATAGGGAGACCTAGTCTCTAAGAAAATAAAATATAGGCCTGGTGCGGTGGCTCACCCCTGTAATCTCAGCATTTTGGGAGGTCAAGGCGGGCAGATCACAAGGTTAGGAGATCGAGACCAGCCTGACCAACATGGTGAAGCCCTGTCTCTACTAAAAACACAAAAATTATCCAGGCATGGTGGTGTGCGCCTGTAATCCCAGCTACTCAGGAAGCTGAGGCAGGAGAATCACTTGAACCTGGGAGGCGGAGGCTGCACTGCTATCATGCCACTGCACTCCAGCCTGGGTGACAGAGCGAGACTCCATCTCAAAAAAAAAGAAACAAAGAAAAAGAAGAAAAAAAAGAAAATATAAAAAACAAACAAATAAACAAAAAAAACAAAGTGCAAGGGGCTGGGCCCAGTGGCTTACACCTGTAATTGCAGCACTTTGGGAGGCCGAGGCGGGTGGATCATGAGGTCAGGAGTTCGGGACCAGCCTGGCCAACATGGTGAAACCCCCTCTCTACTAAAAATACAAAAATCAGCCAGGCATAGTGGTGGGCGCCTGTAGTCCCAGTTACTCAGGAGGCTGAGGCAGGGCAATTGCTTGAGATCAGAAGACAGAGGTTGCAGTGAGCCAAGATCACGCCACTCCACTCTAGCCTGGGTGAAACAGTGAAACTGTGTCTCAAAAAAAAAAAAAAAAAGAGAGAGAAAAGAAAGAAAAAAAGAAAAGAAAGTGCAGACTAGTAATTCAACTCTGATTCCTGAGGAAGTATTTCCTTCTCTCCTTCCATTCTGTCTTAACCAGAAATCTTAGTTATGCATTACCAATATAGACAAACAAGGGTGAAAACGCAGGTGCAGGAAAATGGCTGTAGGGAAGTGAAAGATAATGCAGAGGAGGGCACATCATCAGGGGCCCCACCGCAACCACCACAGCCAGGAGCCACGGAGTCTGGGAAGCATGGGATGTGGGCTGGACCTGGCCAAGAGGTAATTACGGAGAAAGAGGAGGAAGGTTTCTTTGTACTTATCTCAGAACAATCTGCTCCTGCTTCAGGTTAGAAGTTCCTGGGGGCTTTTCCTAATTGCCTTATATTTGCGAATTTTTTTCACCCAAGTTCTGTTGTTATTTGCCCATACTTAGTTTCAGGCAATGTGGAAGGTATAAAGGCCAATGAACTAACTCCAATCCAATTGGGAGGTCTCAGAATGGGGCAGGCAAGAGCATCTTTTGGAGCATGGGAAGAAACTCAGAATTTCTGTTTGTTTCATGTAAAAATAAATTATGCTTTAGGTAGTTAGAGTTCAAAATGACACAGGTGCCCTCACAGGATGCTTATGTTTTGTGGTCATGTGTCGTGAATTGTTCCCTGGAAAGGGAGATCCATAAGGGAGGAGCTGTAGCTGGGTTTGCTGAGCATATTATCTCCTGTTTGCTCCCCTGACTCACACAACTGGCAAGCGACTTTAAAGCCTACAGCAAAGAAACTGGAAAATGAAGAGGACATTAGTGATATGAACACACACACAAAAATAAGGAAATGGCCAAGTTGACACTCTGCTCTTTTATATAAGCTCTTTGTCAAGCCCATTTCAGGGTAAGAAAGTCATGACGAACCCCAAGTCTGCCTATAACTGGAAGTTGTAGAAAAGTTGGAAATATTAACATCTGATATCATTAACAATGTACCTCACACTAAGTATATTGTGCCTTGGGATATTAGCTTATAAGAATAAATATATATAATTTATGAATAAATAAATATACATATATTGGGAATATATACCCTCCTTTTTCTTTTGTTAGTAGAGATATACAATGAAACTCATTACACCACTGCTTTGATGTAATAAATGCAAAACCTGTACCAGCCCTATGATGCAAACTTGGGGCATAGAGCATAGGCCGTCCATTGTTCCTGGCAGCTAGTGGGATATATCGCAGAGAGATGAGCTGCATCGTGAAGAATGAGTGAGAGGCCCTGGGTGAAGAAGCAGAGAGGGTCATTCTGGATAATGGATTAGTGTGAGCAGAGACTCAGAGACTTCAGAGAGCATGTCCTTTTTGGAGATCAGCGGGCAGGTTAATGTCTCCTGGAACGGACTGCATATAACAGATGGGTGGCGAATAACACTGGAAAGGTAGGTAATGTCCAGATTGAAGGACCTGAATTCTATGCTAAGTATTTGGACCGCACACTATAAGGACTGCATATAACAGATGGGTGGCGAATAACACTGGGAAGGTAGGTAATGTCCAGATTGAAGGACTTGAATTCTATGCTACGTATTTGGACCACACACTATAAGCACTACAGAGTTGACGGAGATGTATGAACAACCTACAGAAAGGGAGAAAATATTAGCAATATGCCGCAGACAAAGAACTAATATCCAGAATTTATAAGGAACTTAAATCAACAAGAAAAGACTCAATAACCCCATTAAAAAGAGAGCAAAGGATATGAACAGACATTTTCAAAAGAAGACATACAGTCGCCAACAAACATGGAAAAAATGCTCAACATACTAATCATTAGAGAAATGTAAATCAAAATCACAATGAGATATCGCTTCACAGCAGTCATTATTATTAAAAAGTAAAAAACAAAACAAACAAACAAAAAAACAGATATTGGCAAGGCTGCAGAGAAGAAGCAATGCTTATTTGCTGTTGGTACGAATGTAAATTAGTTCAGCCACTGTGGAAAGCAGTTTGGAGATTTCTCAAAGAACTAAAAATAGAACTACCATTCAACCCAGCAATCCCATTACTGGGTATATACCCCCCAAAAATAAATCATTCTACCAAAAAGCACTATTCACAATAGCAAAGACATGGAATCAACCTGGGTGCCCATCAATGGTAGAATGGATTAAGAAAATGTGGTACATATACACCATGGAACACTACACAGCCATTAAAAAAAAAAGAATAAAATCATGTCCTTGGCAGCAACATGGATGCAGCTGAAGGTCATTATCCTAAGAGAATTAATACGGAAACAGAAAACTAAATATTGCATGTTCTCACTTAAAAGTGGGAGCTAAATATTGGGTGCACACGGACAAAAAGATGGGAACAATAGACGCTGAGGACTCCAAAAGGAGAGAAGGAAGGAGGAGAGCAAGGGCTGAAAATCTCCCTATTGGGTACTACGTTCACCATCTGGGTAACCAGGTCAATAGAAGCCCAAGCGCTCAGCAATATACTCTTGTAACAAACCTGCACATGGACTCCCTAAATCTAAAATTAAAATAGAAATTTTAAAAAAGAAGCAGGCTGGGCGTGTGAAGCCCAAAGAACTCCGTCTGAAAACTGTTCTGCTGTTTCTGCAGTGTGGCTACAGTCACTGCCCACCAAGTATCTAGGGCCCAGAGGCACGGGTGTTGCGGTATGGATGTGTCCACCTGGATACACACGGTTTCAATCCATTTAAATGGCAAACAAAGGTCTTGGGCAGATTTCGAAGAGAAGCGGTGAGCTGCGAGACATTTCCGAGCAAGAGCTGATGTGGAGGGTTTCCAGGGCCGGGTGAGGGTCCCTCAGCCACAGCGATGTTTTAGCCTCCACGGTGGAACTCAGAGGCTCCCCCGCCACAGCCTCCCGCCTGCGCTCATGCGCTTCCTCCAGGCCTTATTTGTAAGTCTGTTGATTGATTTCGCAGACCGCACCTTGCAAGGAGCACACGGTCCGTCTTAGTATTTCATAACCATTTCTTCTCTTTTTGTTTTCTACCCGGCCTGGCTCTGTGTCTAGGACTCAGCCTGCCTTCCCGGGGCTCGGCCTGCCCCGCCTGCCTAAGAATCTCACAAATCATTGACGGCATGGGGGAGGGGAGAAGGGGAGACGGCCTGTAGCGGGGAAATGGTGCCCTGGAAGCCAGGGTTCTACTCCCTCCGCCGATTTGTAGGACAAAGAAGGCAAAGCTCTTGCGTGGAAGCTCGGCCCTCTCAGCCCCGACCGAGGCCGTTATAACTCAAATTCACGACCTCTGGGGACGGAAAACACCCGGCCTTACCGAGGAACAAAGGGCAAGTGTTCCCGCACTGCGCCGCGTTCGTGGGCTCGGGGTTTCCGCTGCTGGGTCCAGCTTTTGGTTACCTTGCTTGGCTGGTCCCTGCGGGGCCCACGGCTGCGGAAGGACAGGGCTCTGGGGCTGCCACCCCACAGCCCCTGCCATTCAAGAGTGCCGGGCAGCTCCGCCCGGGCCTCTCGCTTCCCAGGAGGAGGAGGGAAGGCCTGGGGGGAAGGGGGAGGGCAGTGGAATAGAAACTGGGGAGCGACAAAGCTGAGAAGGCGCAGATTTTGGCGGATTCCGGGAGCCTCCTCCACTGTGTCCTTTCCGCAGTCACAGTATGGGGCTGCGACCGCTTCCTAGCCCCCATGCCCCGGGCATTTGGCTCTTTCACATAAATGTTAGGATTGGTAGCTTTCCAATATTTCTAAATGGAGAGCTATGAGAAGAGGTGGTGTGTGTGTGTGTGTGTGTGTGTGTGTGTGAAGGAAATAATGATGGATTTGCAGCCTCTTTCTTTCAACTCCTCTTCATTCATTGGCTAAGTGTTGGTTGCCTAGGAAACCGCGTGCATCTCGACTGCAGAGCCTGCTATGGGGGCTGCAGGCTGGGTTTTTTGGGTTTCAAGCGGTGAATCCCGGCAAGCAGTGAAGAACCCTAATGCTAAATGTCTAGTAATTTCAATAACTGTGTCAAAAATATATATTGCATTATGAAAACAATGCTTTAAAAATTTACTACTATGTAAAGCCCCCTTTCTCTCTGACTTCTTCAAACAATGACTTGTGTGTGTAATAGAGAAATGCAAATTCACTTGAGGACGTGCCGTTGAAAATAATCTGAAAATTGTGAAAGCAAATATTAATTTTAATAGTTTAAGGGATATCTTGCTCACTTCAGTTGCGCAATAGGTTATGTGTAAAACAAATGTTGAATTGTATTTTATGCAGCGATATTTCTACAATTGTCTCTGGAAGGGAAAATTTTTAAATGTTAATACATCATTAAGACTAACATTAAGAGATCATGAAATATGTTGCCCCCAAATCTTCGTGCCTGTTATACGATGACCTAGATTGAGAAGCACTGCATATAATGAATAAACAGAAATGCTGGGGACCCAACTAAGAACGACTTTTTTTTTTCTTTGAAAGCCGGGTACCAGTCTCTTCTTGCGAACTACATGGATTAAGAATGATTTTTTTTTTTTTTTTACTTAAGGGTTATCAGATAAATTGAAAGACTTTAGGGAAAGGTGTGACTGTTGTCAACATTTTAACACAAAATCAGCTTCTTGTGAAAATAAAAATGTGCAGCATCACAATTCCAGTGGGGGTGGGGTGGGATGCAGACCGGTTAACAAGAATGGCTGCCCGGAAGGGGCGGGGGTGTGGGGACAATTCAAGCGAAATGCTTGAAAGGAAAGCAGATCTTGGGCCAAAAGTGTCCCCAAGGGCACTCTGGGCTTTCAGAAGGATGATTTCCAGTCTCACCCTATCCCAAACCTCTCCCTTTAAAAGAAACCTGAGAGGAAAGGGTCTTTTCATCTATCTATATGATCTTGAACACGCGTTTTCACCCGAGCACTCAGTGGAGTGGCTCTGAAACAGAAGCTAAGAAATGAAAGAGTTAGATGAAGGAGGCAGGCGGCCAGCTCAAGTTACTCAGCGTGGAGCTGAGCGCCCCTCATCCCCACCCCGCCGCGCTGAGCATCAGGGTTGCTCCTGGGAGCTCGCAGCGAGGAGGTGACCGCTCTGAGTATGTCTACACTCGCAGCGCGGGTGCCGCCCTCGCTCTGTTCCTTCCGGCGCAGCTTGGTCCCACCAGAGCCGCCACTCGAGGCTGACACCTGCCACAGCCCTTTTGGCCGAAATGCGGTCACTTTCCCTGAGGTTTGGTGTGCCCAAAAGACGAGATTCCAGTCCAAGCCCTGTCCTTCACTTGCTGTGTGACCTTGGGAATTGCTAGCCCTCGACGTTTCGGCATCTGAAGGGATCCGGATTAGAAACTCGGAGGTCAGGCCGCGAGACCTTGGAACCCGGAGAGTGGGGCATGTGGACAGACCCTCCGCTGATCTCTGCCTGTCCCCAGACCCCACCCTAACCCAGGCAAGCCGGCCGCGTCTGGAATACCGGCCCGCGAGCTCCAGTCTGGGCGCCCTGGATGTTTGGGGGCGCCTGGGCTTTTGTTCTCGCTACTTCTCTTTGTACATTGGAATCGACTTGAGTCCCCCACCCCCCACCCCACGGCGGGAAAGGGAGGCGGTGACAGCTTGCTGATAGTTCTGGGAGAGTCTCGCTCAACAGCTGCAGGCTCCGCTCCGCGGCGGGAGCCCGGGTCTTTCGGCCTCTCTCGCCAGGGGATGAAAGAGGTCACGTCACCTCGCCATCGGCCCTTCCCAAGTGTGGAAATGTGGGGCGGCCGGCTTCAGTCATCGAATTGCAGGGAACAGGTTGTGCAGTGAACGTTTCTGACACCCTATCCCCTCCCGCCCTCAAACGCACGCAGGATTAGGTTCTCTCTCTCTCTCTCTCTCTCTCTCTCTCCTCGGCCTTCCCTGGATTGGGCGCCGCTCAGTCTCTTCAACAGGTCAACTCTCACCCCCCTCCGCCCCAACGCACGCAGGATTAGGTTCTCTCTCTCTCTCTCTCTCTCTCTCTCTCTCTCTCGCTCTCGCTCTCTCTCTCTCTCTCCCTCCCTCCCTTCTTCTCTCTCTCTCTCTCTCTCACACACACACACACACACACACACACACACACACACGCGAAAAGTAACAAAGAGACCAGTTCCTGTCTGGGTACCTAGAGACTGCGGATTTGAAGGGAGGGTCGGTGCTCCAAGTCTGTGCACGCGCTCGTGCGAGTATGCGTGGGTCTTGGGTGGTCTCGCGCGCGCGGGGCTGCAGTTTTTAGTCGTATTCCCCACCCTTCAACCGCAGCACGAAGCCTCGGACCTCCAGGTCTCCGCGATGGAAGACAAGAAAGTTCATTACTCGGGCGTGGGTCACCCTTGGAACCCACCCTCTTACTTGACAATAGATGAACCGAATCCGAGGGCGGGGGGGAGGGGGGCGCCTGTCGTGTGATTTTAAATACTCGGTTGCACAGCGTATCCCACGCTTCTGAGAGCCCTTTGTTCCGCCGACAGCCCCGCCCCGGGGACCCCACCCTCTTTCTGCCCTCCGGACGGTCAGTGCTGCGCTACCGGCCACTCCCACTCCATCACTCGCGAGGAACAAAAGTCAACCCTCGGGGCAGAGGAGTCCTGGGTACCAGCAGGGGCGCTGTGCACTCCCGGAGAGGGTCGGGCAGGGCTGAGGGGCTCCGAGGTCGCTTCACCCGTGGATGCTGCTGCTCAGTGAGAGGAGCTACCAGCCCTAGACAGACAAAGGAGAAAGCAGGCCCACGCTGGGGCGGGGGCGGGGGCGGAGGCCGCGCTGGTGTTCACGGGCTGCAGGTGTCCCGGGTCGCCGTCACGCACGACTTCCTTCTGGGGCCACCTGTCCTCCCCCAGGCCTCTATGAGACGGAGCGCCGCCTGGGCAGTCGCTGGCCTCCGGGGTTGAGGGAAAGGACAGTGGTCTCACGAGGGGCGGTTGGCTGGAGGGACTCTGGCCAATGGCCGAGTAAGAGCTGCAATTCGAGGTGGCGGAGCAGCCTGTGCCACCTCAACCCTCCCACCTGCCGGCACCGGAGCACCTGACGGCCTCTCCACCTGCTCCAGTCCTCCATCTTTCCCATCCGATGCCAGCTCTGCCCCCACCCGGTTCAGACCGCGCTGGTGGCCCTCTCCTCGCCGCCCTCTCACCCTCCTTTTCTTCACCCTTCCCCCATAGCCCCAGACCCAGACCCCCACTACAGCCGCAGACAATGCGCACACCCCCACCCTACTCCCGGGGGCCCCCACCCCTCTCCCGGTCCGCACGCCCGCTCTGATTGGCCGCGGGCCGGTGGTCCAGCCCCCCGGACGGTCCCTGGGGCTCGGAGCATTACGTCAGCCAGGCTTGGAGAGCGCCAGCGCGAAGGGGACTGGGGGGCTCGGGCTGGGGGCGCGGCCTGCGCCGGCCGCCCCACCCTCCTTGCATAAAAGCCGGAGCCCGCGGGGCCGGCGCTCTCAGCCCGTCGGTTCCCGAGCGCCTTCCCGGTGACCCCGCAGTGGGTGTGTGAGGGGAGGACGGACAGACGCACCAGACGCCGCCGGACCAGGAGGACGCTGACGAGGCACCATGCGTGAGATCGTGCACATCCAGGCGGGCCAGTGCGGCAACCAGATCGGCGCCAAGGTGGGCGCGCCGCGGCGGAGGGGGTCGATGGGGGCGGGAACCTGGGCCGAGAGCCCCTCGGGGTCCCCAGGCGCGGTCCCGGGAAGGCCTGGGGATCGCCAAGTGTGCCGCCGAGTGTGGCGTGGGCTCGGAGGCGACTTTCGCCGACGGAGGGGGCACCTCTCTTTTCTGCTGTAACTCATTTGGAGTCCCCGTCACCCCGCGGGCTGCTTGGCAGGCACGCGTGCCTGGAGAAGACGAGGGTGTGTCCGCGAGGCTGTGCGCGGCTTTCCGCGCGAGGGGCTGGGACATGAGGCGGGTTAATTTTACTCGTTTGAACCGGAGTCCAGCCGCCGGGGGAGGGGAGAAGAGCGATTGTCTTGCGGTCTCAGGACGTGCTTTGAATCTAAAACCGCGGTCCTTTAGCTCCTTCGCGTTCCTCTTTCCCCGCCCACCCGCTCCTCGCGGGCTGCAGTCCCTGTGCCCTCGCCTCCTGCCGCCGCCTGCGGCTGCGACCCGTGCGCCGAGCTCCGCCACTGCCCTGCTTTGGCTGGTCCTTCCCCCCTCGACCCCCTACCTCCTGCCGCAAGCAGCAGCTGTGCGCCTGGGAAACGCCCAGTTTCGACTTTCTAACCCTGCAAAATACAAGCCTCGCGGCTGTTCCCGGGTCACGCCGCCCTTTAAACCTTCAAGCTCCTGAAATGTTGGGTTGTCGGAACTGAGTCGGGGACATTTCATTGTGAGCCTTGGCGTTTCTGCGGATCGTGCATGGCTAAATGCAGCCTTTCTGTCTCAGTTTTGGGAGGTCATCAGTGATGAACATGGGATTGACCCCACTGGCAGTTACCATGGAGACAGTGATTTGCAGCTGGAGAGAATCAATGTTTACTACAACGAAGCCACTGGTAATCGCCCTTGCCCCACCCCCACTGCCTTCAGTTTTTCCACCCCTCTCCCCTTTCCTTGCGTGGGACCCCAGGGGTGTGGCCCTGGGAGAGGGTGGACCATTCAATTGAGGATCTCCGCTCCTTCCCTGCAGTCTTTCATTGGGCTTCCTTATGTCCACAGAGCCCTTTGAGAACCTGATGGTGGGTCTCCCTTTGTTTGGGGGAACATCTGCATGATGGCAGCAGGCACCAAGCCCTTCTTTGCAGAGGTCCTTGCCTGAGAGTCTTAAGTCACTGTTGTTCCTTGCAGGTAACAAATATGTTCCGCGGGCCATCCTTGTGGATCTGGAGCCAGGCACGATGGATTCGGTTAGGTCTGGACCATTCGGCCAGATCTTCAGACCAGACAATTTCGTGTTTGGTGAGTGCCTGGTGTGACTGAGAGCATGAGGGACTCATTTTACACTGGGCAGCTGAGGCTGGAGAGGTGTGACTGCCAGAGGGAAAGCGTGAAGAACATCCACTGCGTGCCAGCTTAGCTTTAATATAGGGTAAAATTGTTTGCCTTTCAACTGCTAAGAGCTCGGCGTCCTGGCCTTCCTTATTTATGATATATTCATGAACAAATATTTTAACGTTTGGCCATTTTGGTGATAATCTGAAATAGTCTTATCTGAGCATTGACTCATTGATCTATACTAAGGGGTTTGAGGCAAGGTATTTAATACAATCACCAGTGACTCAAGATTTCTCTTTCCCTCTGGCAGGCCAGAGCGGAGCTGGGAATAACTGGGCCAAGGGCCACTACACAGAGGGAGCCGAGCTGGTCGACTCGGTCCTGGACGTGGTGAGGAAGGAGTCAGAGAGCTGTGACTGTCTCCAGGGCTTCCAGCTGACCCACTCTCTGGGGGGCGGCACCGGGTCCGGGATGGGCACCCTGCTCATCAGCAAGATCCGGGAAGAGTACCCAGACCGCATCATGAACACCTTCAGCGTCATGCCCTCACCCAAGGTGTCAGACACGGTGGTGGAGCCCTACAACGCCACCCTCTCTGTCCACCAGCTGGTGGAAAACACAGATGAAACCTACTGCATCGATAATGAAGCCCTGTACGACATCTGCTTCCGCACCCTGAAGCTGACCACCCCCACCTACGGGGACCTCAACCACCTGGTGTCGGCCACCATGAGCGGGGTCACCACCTGCCTGCGCTTCCCGGGCCAGCTGAACGCAGACCTGCGCAAGCTGGCGGTGAACATGGTGCCCTTCCCGCGCCTGCACTTCTTCATGCCCGGCTTCGCGCCCCTCACCAGCCGGGGCAGCCAGCAGTACCGCGCGCTCACGGTGCCCGAGCTCACCCAGCAGATGTTCGACTCCAAGAACATGATGGCCGCCTGCGACCCGCGCCACGGCCGCTACCTGACGGTGGCTGCCATCTTCCGGGGCCGCATGTCCATGAAGGAGGTGGACGAGCAGATGCTCAACGTGCAGAACAAGAACAGCAGCTACTTCGTGGAGTGGATCCCCAACAACGTGAAGACGGCCGTGTGCGACATCCCGCCCCGCGGCCTGAAGATGTCGGCCACCTTCATCGGCAACAGCACGGCCATCCAGGAGCTGTTCAAGCGCATCTCGGAGCAGTTCACGGCCATGTTCCGGCGCAAGGCCTTCCTGCACTGGTACACGGGCGAGGGCATGGACGAGATGGAGTTCACCGAGGCCGAGAGCAACATGAACGACCTGGTGTCTGAGTACCAGCAGTACCAGGACGCCACGGCCGACGAACAGGGGGAGTTCGAGGAGGAGGAGGGCGAGGACGAGGCGTAGGTGCCCCGCGAGGCGGAGGCGGGTTAGGGGAAGCGGAGGAGGAAAGCGAGGGGGTGGGGGGCTTCCCGGGACGGTACCCTGGCAGTCGAAGGAAAGAAGCATGGTCTACTTTAGGTGTGCGCTGGGTCTCTGGTGCTCTTCACTGTTGCCTGTCACTTTTTTTCCCTTTTTTGTAATATTGATGACATCAATGTAACATTTGAGATATTTCTGAATTACTGTTGTAATGGCTAAAATCACATAAACGTTTGTGTCGGAATGGTGTCCTCTCTTCTTTCTCTCCCTTTTTCTCTTTATTAACGATTCAAATGTAACTTCCTGAACACATTGCATTAAATTCTTCCTTTAACAAAAAGCAAAGGCGTAGGTAAAAGCTCAAATGAATTTATTCTTTGGGTATGGTAAAATTGAACCAATCACAGTTAAGATGAGAGATCAACCTGAGTTTTAAAATACCTTTAATAAATATTAGTTGAAAACACGTCTACTTGAAAACACGCTGTGTGTCTTCATGTGCAGTTCCTACTATACCTTTATCTCCTTTACAG